GCCATCGGTAAGTGGTCTGGTGTCACTGAACACAAATCATTGCTGCGCAAGGGCCAGGTTTATGGCCACGTTCAATGAGCAGCCACTGCAGATTACTCTGTGTGATTCAGAGAAGACTGGTGTCTCACATGGCAGTCTGGAGAAAGGAGATGGGGAACCTATTGGCACTGTTTCCAAAAAGCCATGTGTGTCGGACACTTATCTCTGCCCCTACAGGCAAGAAAAGAAGCAGTGTCAATGGGAAGCCATGTGTGCTGGAGGCAGCATGTACCAGACTCAGTGGGAAGCTGTCCTCTACTGCTTCCTCTTCCCTGTCTGAAGGCTCCTGCCCAGGCTGGCCCCTTACCATGCCTGCCTGCGGACCGAGTGCATTCTGATGCTGCCCTGAGAACTCTAGGCACCTGCTATAAAGTGCCCATTTTAAAGCAAACGTGGCCTTGCATGGAACAGATCTCCTTTGTCTTTACAGAGACCTTCAATGTAGGCTAACAGATTAGGGTTAGGCTTAACACAATGTATCTGCTGTAATGAATGCCCTTGTAACTTTTCTTTGCAGCTGGAATAGTAGCCAGATTGGTGCATACTCCCCCTCCTACAGCATTTGCCCACCTGGCTCAGACCCACAGGTGAAAGCAGACAAGAGGACATGTTCTGTAAGCAGGTGGCATGCACGCATCCCCTTGTGGAGGAGATGAGACCAGAGCACCTGGACAGGATTGTGGAGCACCAGGAGAGAAGAGCTGCCAGGGAAAAGTCACCAGGAGACCATGTTTACCTCCCTAACCGCTGGAATGGCTTTGTGCTTGGAGAAGGCCTCCGCTCAGAACACCATCTGCCCTGATGACAACCCCAGTCCTTCCTCCCCCAGCCCTGTTGCTCCCACCCCATGGTCCTCTGGGGCCCCAGGGCTCAGGTGGGGGGGGGGCTCAAGGGGAGCTGTACCCTCCAAGCCCTCAGAAGGCAGTCCCACTCACATTCCTGAGCCCTCCTTCCCTCTTCTGGTTCCCACTTCTTTC